ATATTATTATTGTTTAAATTATTAAGTTAACATTAGATAACTATTGCTTAATTATTTAAAATACAGTCTCAGAGGCAATTCAACTTGACATTTAAGGATCGGGGCCAGTGAAAGGCTGGGGTCCCTCAGCCCTCGCTGAAGAAGGTGACGACTCAGGCTGCCGAGTCCTTTGCCAATGGCACCCGTGGTTTTTGACCTCAGATGAATGTGTATTGAGGCATCATGCTCTCAGCATGTCTAAACGGTCCAAAAAGTTTTGTTCCTATGATGTCGTCGATTGTTTGCACACAAAAGGAAGGACTGGACACTATCCTTACACAGCATTAGAAATCACTGAGGACTTCTTCTTACCCCAAAAGCAAGGACTCACTCGACCACAGCAGGTTCATAAGGGCAATGTTCTTAGGATGGCTAGGAAAACAGTTCCCTATACTTTTGCTTACATTAGCTTTCAATCAAACTTTAATGTCAGCTAGGGAAAAAAGTGGTAGTTTGCTCTCTCAGAGGGAGGATTACGTGCTTTTCAGAGTATATGTTGTGGGTGTCTATACTGGTATTCTCTCTTGTACACCTTCAGTAATTATTCAAGAAAGAATCAAAGTCCCATTCCGCAGCAACACTTCTTAGTTGCAAGGGGAAAAGCAGCTATGTCCTGTACCATATATTCCTTATACAGGTACAAATAGCTTTTAGAAACAACTGTTTCTAGATACTTAGCATCCAGTAACATCAGACCCGATTTTATCACGTTGTATCTGTAAGATACAAGATTTATCACATTGTACATGGGTCATTCACACCTATGGGATAGCACATGTTAATTTGGCCATAGGCAATTATTTAAACTAATCGAGAAGGGAAAAGGAAGGGAAAGACCTATTCTTGCTTTGATTTAGAGCACTTTCAAAGCCAGACTGAAGCTGAGATCACATTCTCTTTACAGCACAACTATAACAATGAGCAGGTGGTGCCAGTTAAAATACATAAATTACCATTGCAAAAGACATAAATGCCTTTAATCTTCTAGTGACCATATTAAAACCGTATATAAATTTCTTAGACTAAAATGGGGCTCAACAGGCAGGTAAGGACAGATGTAGAGCGCTGGCAAGTTAACTATTAGAGGCAGTTATTTATTGAAGATATTGATGACTTCTTCCTTAATTATTGTGGACTGAAAACCATGGACAAAAAGGAAAAAACACTGGATTCACCTTTTTTACAACTGAAGAGTGTGGCTTCACAAGAAGGAAATTTCCCTGACAGAACAGTGATAGTAGTAGCTAGTATGTATGTTATTATCTCTACATGACAGGTTATGAGATATGCATACAAGTACTGAAAACTTCTTGCATGCCTTAGCCTGCAAATTTTCCATTACAGTCAGAAGCAACACAGCTTAGGTTTTTTTTCCTCTCTTTCTGATGGTCACTACTTTGTATGTCAAACTAGCAAAACCAGAACTTTGATCCTGCCTAAGAGAGCCTGTATTTCTACGTTTGTATTGGCACACATTTGAAAGATCTGATCCACAAGGAGAAACTAGTGATAATAGACAGAAATACGGGCTATAGAGCTGTGCAGTGCGTTGAAGATACCAGGCAGCACAGTACAGTTGGCTTCTTTGCGACAACAATGACGCTTTATTCGCACCAATTAATATATTTCCTAAAATTTCTGAATGCTGCTTTTAATTAAGAAGATTGAATCCTCTTCTACACTTTCATTATGAGGCAAACCACAATCAGTTTTTAGCTTGCCATTAGTAAATACAAAAAATCTCATAAGAACACACCCGAGCATGTGAGGGATGCAGGAGCTGTATGTGTGGCTTCCCCCGAAAGAGAAGCGTAGGGCAGCCTTGACATACAGGACCCACAATCCATCTTGTCTGGTATTCTGGCTCTTGGAGTGGAGACTACCATGTTCTTCAGGGAGGGAGATGAAGAACTTCAGAACAGACAGGTACCAAATCAGCTGTTCACGAAGACCGGTCTTTCCAAGCCGCTCACAAGGAGAAGCTCACTCGTGGTCTTTTAAAAACAAGTAAAGCTAAGATGAGGTGCTTGTTACTATCAAATCATTCTCAGTAAACCACATCCATTTTTCAGGCATGTACGCTAGAATGTGAAGGAAAGCTGCCTTCTGCCAAAGCCTGGGAGACCTGCAAGGAGCTCCTGCAACTGGCCAAGCTGGATCTTTCTGAGGATGGCAACGTTGCTCCAGGAGACAAGAAAGAGCTGGATGAGAACCATTTGCTTGCGAAGAAGTACGGCGGCTTCATGAAAAGATACGGGGGGTTCATGAAGAAAATGGATGAGCTCTATCGGGTAGAACCGGAGGAGGAAGCTAACGGAGGAGAAATCCTGGCGAAGAGGTATGGAGGGTTTATGAAGAAAGACTCAGATGACGATGCCCTTGTTAATTCCTCTGATCTGCTGAAGGAGCTTCTAGGAACAGGGGATAACCCTGAAGCAGGGCATTACCGAGAGATAAATGAAAATGACGGGGACATCAGCAAAAGATATGGAGGCTTCATGAGAAGCGTAAAGCGCAGCCCCGAATTGGAAGATGAAGCCAAAGAGCTGCAAAAGAGATATGGCGGTTTCATGAGAAGAGTGGGCAGGCCAGAATGGTGGCTGGATTACCAGAAACGATACGGTGGGTTTCTTAAGCGCTTTGCCGACTCCATTCTCCCTTCAGAAGAAGATGGGGAAACTTATTCCAAAGAGGTCCCAGAGATGGAAAAGAGATATGGTGGATTTATGAGATTTTAATACCTTTCCCTTTATCCCTTTTGTCCTAAATGAGAAAGACTGCCTTATTGGTCATAACTTATTGTAACGTGTTGCTTGTACTGTACAGTTTTTTACTGTCTTTGGTTAATGATGCAACCTGCGATTTGTTGTTTCAAGTTCTGTGTTCTTTCAACTCAAATAACTAATTTCTGTTTTAGTCAAGTTTCAGTCTGTTGTAGTTTCCATGCTAAAACTATTTTGATTACTGTATTCATTTTCTTTGAAGAGGAAGTACATCTACAGTAGAGTTGCTTAACTGTATATACAATAAATTCTTCATCCTAACTGCATAAATTCTGAAGTGTTATTCATTTTCTCTCAGTTGTTTAATCAAACATCATCTCAATTTTTCTTTAAACAATCAGAACAATGCCAGCCTCTTTTCTGTAATTACAGAATATGTACTGCACACACAACAGCTGAAAGACATTTTTGTCTTTAGTTTTCTCAGTTTCTTAGAATACTAGAATAATAAATATGCTTGAAAGCAAATATAACTGTGTTTGCTCTAACTGCTCTCATTTTAACCAGTTAGCAGAATAAATGTTTAAAGCCTAAATGTATAATTCATACTCTTCAGCCAATTCACATGAAAAAAAAAAATCATGTGTTTGACTTAAAGCATTAAAAACCTTTCTCCAGTGCACAACACAATGCCACGTTTGATTAGTTAGACCTTTTATATCCATCCAATACAGGATTGTACAGTTGGCCCTAAAGTTATAAACACTAACTCAAAAAGCAGTAAATCAGTTTGTGCAAAATAAACATGATCCAAAACTGCACAAAAAAACCTTCAAAATCCTAATTTTACAGAGCACCTGACAAATGGTTTTCCATGGGACAGTGTTGTGTTTGATTCCTCAGCTGGTATAAATCACTTTGGCACTGCTAAAATATGGAAGACCGCTGGTCAGCCTTTTCTGTGTCAAACAAAGGCAGTATAAGTAAATGTGAGGAACAAACAGAAGCCCCAACACTAACGCTGTAGATCCTTTGGCATTTACATAGGTGGCACTTACACCAAAGGCCAGCTCCCATCCCCGTGTGCGCTTCCTTCCGTAATTTCGACTGTCCCCCTGGGTTCCTAGTCTGTGAGTGCTTCTCCCCCACCTGCTGCTACTAGCTACTCGTTACTTCCCACTTAAATTAACATGATAAAAATCGCTTTGCCCACTAGCACAGACAATCAATTTAAAGTTTCTACAGTCAAAATCCTCGAAGCCGTTGAGATACCTGGTTACCGCTGAAATAGTTCATGGGAGCTAGGTGTCTAAAGCCACCTGTGGCTCTGCATTCAGTACCTGTATTTCAGTTTTACACAGTACTACCTGTCGATATAAAGGGCAAATTAAGGGTATGACTTTTCTTTATCTTCAAATCAAAGGGATCTTCTGATACTCAGGACTTTTTAAAATTAAGCTGTGTTTAAATACGCACTTGAAAGCCTCATCACATAGAATTAGTTGTGGTGATTTTTGGCTTGGGCCTTAGAGGATGATATAGGTGGTCTAAAGTGGCCAAAAGCCTGCTGAAGAGTTGATGAACTGCAAGGCATTCCTTTTCCTTCAGTAAAAAGCAGAGCACCTATCTTCCTCTTCCCGCTGTACAAAATTGATGACAACAAATGTTAAAAGGCAGAAAATACAGATGCTGTAGAAGCTTCATGCCTTTTCAGGATTCAGTTGTGTTTCCTATCACCTTTCAAAGAGTTTTTCAAGATGCCAGCAGCCACAAGAAAAGTCTTCTTCCCATCCTTTCCCACCATAGCATCTGCTGGCAGACATCAGTTGGGCTCTTGGAACACATCACCCAAGTGGTGCCACCCACAAGGAGCTGGGGCTGTGCACACTGAGCCTGCTCTGCAGCACAAACCCATGCGTGGGCTGCAGGCATCAGCAACAGGTTTGCTTCAAACATACACTCCAGAAAGAATTAAAATGACAATGCAGTTGCATTCTTAATCTTTCGCTTCAACATATATTCAGTTCTGCCCTGGCTTTGGCGGGGTTAGAGTTCATTTACTTCCTAGTAGCTGGTATAGTGCTTGTTTTGGATTAGGATGAGAATAGAGTTGATAACACACGGGTGTTTCAGGTGTTGCTAAGCAGTGTTTACACTAAGTCAAGGACTACTCAGCTTCTCATACGGCCCTTCCAGCGAGGAGTCTGGAGGGGGCATAAGAGGCTGGGAGGGGGCACAGCTGACCCAAACTGGCCAAAGTGATATCCCATACCATGTGATGTCATGCCCAGCATATAAACTAGGGGGAAAGCTAGCCAGGGGCTGCTGCTTGGGAGCTGGCTGGCCATCAGTCAGTGGGTGGGGAGCAATTGCGTTGTGCATCACTTATTTTGTATATTATTGTAATTAATTTTTCCCCCCTTCCTTTTCTGTCCTATTAAACTGTCTTTATCTCAACCCACAAATTTTACTTTTTTTTTCCCCAATTCTCTCCCTCATCCTACTGCAGGGGGGTAAGGGGCGGGCATGAGCGAACGGCTGTGTGGTGTTTAGCTGCCTGCTGGGTTAAACCACAACAACTTCTTTTCCATAAAACTTACTTACCTCTAATTTAGTCAGAGGCCCTTGCCAGCCATCTGACTAAAACAAGCATGTTGTACTTGATGATGCAAAAGGTTTATAAGTTGTTGTCACCCATCCTTCATGGTTAACAAAAAATTGGTGATTTAATGAGGAATAAAACTCCCAAAGTTCTAGAGACCTAGTATATATCTTGCAGAATGAAGTGTTTTGATCTACTAAACCTTTCCATTTATACCAATTTATATAGTAAAAAAAGTACTTGATACAAACATCTAACTGGGATGTTTTAACATTTCAGATGACATAAGCTCAAAATGTGCCAGTGAAACAAGCAGGGTTTCCTGAAGTCCACTTTATTAAATCACAAATCAAAACTAAGGTTGTAGATAGGGTTTGCTGGGCTGGGAGATGAAAAAGGGCATCTCACTCCTGGTACAAGTTCTGAAAGTGTCCCCTAATTTTCCTCTTGCAATACATTCCTAGAATTGTTGCTTCATCGGAAGATTATTGAAACAGCTGTATTTCTTTATATGAATAAAGGCAGAAAGGAGGAAACCCTGCTGTCTGGAAAGAAAATTAATTGCAAGAGTATTCTGAAGGAAGAAATGTCACCCTGAGACCAAAAAACAGATTCTACATTTCCTTTTCCTGGCTTTTATCATTGCCTTGGCATTTTTACATGGCAATCAATATTCCAGAGTATGATCAAATATGGTATCATTGGTCTGAATACTAAGTATAACAAAAACTGCATATGAGCAATGAATGATGGATGGATCTAGACCAAAGAGACTAATGCCTCTCCATGAGGAACAAAAGGAAGAAGAAAATAGTCTGATTGAGGTTCAGGCAAGGATGAGTTGGGCTTTTTAATAGGAGCTAATTAGAGGAAGGAAGAAAAAAAAAGGGGGGGGGATTTCACATATGGGAACAGATCATGCAGGAGAGAGAAGCTGATGAATACAATGATTCTTGAACACCAAACTGCATGCAGCTGGAGCTCTGCCTGAAAACCTAAGCTTAAATCTTGAGATAATGAGGGAAGGTCATAGTGTCATTCCCACATCTCAGATTAACTTGACATTCTACAAGTTGAAATATGCAGAGCATAACTTTGAATTTCCTGGGGGCTTTTCCTGGTAAATGAATATGTAGTATGATATACAATAAATATAAATAACTACAGAATTATCATTACAATAATTATTTTGTAATTATATATAAATAATTATAATTATTTACTTCATAATTTTATAACCATATCATAAATACAAGTAATTATAACATCAATGTTTTTGGCTGTTTCAGATAATGTTTCCCAAGATAGAATCTTTATAAGAACAGAAACATATTCTAATTTAATATACTGAAATAAGTATTATTAAACTGTGTTCAACATAGACTCTAAATATGCACTGGCTCATTTTAATTCTGAAGGGAACTTAATTAACAAGAGCCAAAGTTTTCAATGTATGGTGTATAAGGGCCTCTCCGTCATTAAGGATGGCTTTGGAGGCCTACATAGAAGGCAAAGTGACAAATTCATAGCACAACTCCACAGTTCATGTATATATCACAGTGCCACAGAAAGTTTTCTTTACAGCCTTCTTCCTCAAGCACTTACAGAGCTCAGCTGGACACAAACAGCAAGATTCCTTCTTGTGCCAAAACAAGCATCCCGGAATTTGCGACTTAAAAGGCAAGTGAATGGTTAAGTTCCCTGACCCTAGATTGCTTTGAGAATGAAGAAATTCCTGGCATTGATTAGCCAGCCCCAAAACCCATTTTATTTATAGTGATGTTCTGGAACAACCTCAAGGAGCGTACCACACCTCTGTCCTTCTAAAACGCTGAAGTGAGATCTAAAAGTACACAGAGAACAGTGAAACCACTGCCCTATCACAGAATCACAGAACCATTAAGGTTGGAAAAGACCTTTAAGATCATCAAGTCCAACTGTCAACCGAACACCACCATGCCTACTAAACCATGTCCCAAAGTGCCACGTCTACATGTTTTTTTAACACCTCCAGTGATGGTGACTCCACCATCTCCCTGGGCAGCCTGTTCCAATGCCTGACCACTCTTTCTGTAAAGAAATTTTCCTAATATCCAATCTAAACTTCCCCTGGTGCAACTTGAGGCCATTTCCTCTCATCCTATCACTGGTTACTTGGGAGAAGAGACCAACACCCACCTCACCACAACCCCCTTTCAGGTAGTTGTAGAGAGGGATAAGGTCTCCCCTCAGCCTCCTCTTCTCCAGACTAAACAACCCCAGTTCCCTCAGCCGCTCCTCATAAGACTTGTGCTCCAGACCCCTCACCAGCTCCGTTGCCCTTCTCTGGACACGCTCCAGCACCTCCATGTCCTTCTTGTAGTGAGGGGCCCAAAACTGAACACAGGACTCGAGGGGCGACCTCACCAGTGCCGAGTACAGGGGCACGATCACTTCCCTACTCCTGCTGGCCACACTATGTCCGATATCAACAGGAATGCACTAATTAACACATCATATCTGTATCATAACTGTATACCATAATATCATAACTAATATTGCGATTATATACCACTACTCTACCTACCTGGTAAGGATAGGGAGCTACCATGAACATAGCTGTAAGCATCGAACAGGGTAGCAAAGCCACCTCTAAATCATTTATCTGAGGATTCAATTACTAATCCCATCAGCCTCATTTATAGCATTTAAACTGACAGTTGCGTATCCAATTAACCGTTGCTATAGA